TTGGGAAGAATTTAAAAAAAATTTAAGAAAAACCCACCCCCCCAAATAAAAAAAAAAAAAAAAGTAAAAAACAAAATCCCAGAAAAACAGCACAGTTTTATTTATTTATTTTAGTTTTTCGAGACAGGGTTTTTCTGTATTGCTTTGTAGCCTGTCCTGGCACTCACTCTGTAGACCAGGCTGGCCTCAATTAAGAGATCCACCTGCCTCCTGAGTCCTGGGACTAAACATGTGCTCCACCAATGCCCGCCCCCCTTTTTTTGTTGTTGTTGTTTTTGAGATAGGGTATCTCTACATAGCCCTGGTCAGCCTGGAATTTTCTATGTAGACCAGACTGGCCTCAAACTCACAGAGCACTGCCTGTTTTTCCTTCCTCAGTACTAGGATTCAAGGTATGTGCCATCATGCCCAGCTAAGTCTTTGTTTCCTATTGGAGTCAGAGTAATACAATGTGGCCTGGGCTGGCCTTGAACTTGTGAACCTACTGCCTTGGCCTCTTAAGTGCTGGCACTGCAGGTGAGCATTGCCATGCTCCGCCCACAAGTGATGTGCCATTCCTTTAGATGACTCTCAGGAAAGCAGCAGTGTGAGCCCCAAACTCACCTGAGTGATTATTCGCTCTCCATCCTTATATACCTTTTCCCCGATCACATCCACAATCTTCATTCGTTCCGACATCTACAGAACATAGTTACACAGTGTAAGTAAAAAACCTTGATTGAATACCATTGTTACAGAACTCAGTATTATTTTAAAACCTAAGGGAAGTTTTAACAGCTTTCCTAAACCATACAGACTCTTATTCAAACTTTACCTCTAGTGATTTAAAGAGTGGCACAGATTCAATAAATGATTCAAACATCTTCCTCTTTTTGGCATTGTTTTTCACTATGATTCTTCTAAAAGTTAACCGGTCCTACAAGAAAAAAATAAAAAGGAAAATTCTAGTTCATGTCTGTGTAAGAGAGTATCTGTTTTAAATAGCTGAACCACAGTAGATACTTGAGACCTATGGAAGTCAGTGTATCAACAGAGTTTAATGATGCTGGAAGAAAAACACCTCTCACCTGTGCTAGGCAGAAGGCTCCAAACCTGTAGCTTGCTGTGTTTAATGAGTGCCACCTATGGGTCACACATAGAACACAAACTCCCATAAACACCTGGTGCTCATTCATAGTCATTATTCAATGCCAAAGACACCGTTCACAAAGGCAGAAGTAAGGGCAAATAATCAGGTTGTTTTTTTTCCCTCCAGGGGTATGAAACTGTAATGAGGAGACAACACAGAATATACAGGGCCCATGCCATAATAAATACTTAGGAGGCAGAAGCAGGAAAACCATAAATTCAAGACTGCTCTGGGCTATGTGGTGAGTTCTGGGCCAGCCTGGATGACAGTGAGACCCTATTTCAAATAAAAACAAAACAAAACAAAAGCAGGGTGTTGGTGGCACACGTCTTTAATCCCAGCACTCGGGAGGCAGAGGCAGGCAGATTTCTGTGAGTTCAAAGCCAGCCTGGTCTGCAGAGCGAGATCCAGGACAGGCTCCAAAGCAATACAGAGAAACCCTGTCTTGAAAAACCAATAAATAAATAAATAAATAAACAAATAAATAAATAAAAATTCCGTTTCCCTGAATATAGTCATTAGCATTCCTGATGAACTAAGTCTATTTGGATATGCGTGTAGACAAGTGATGACTGAATACAAGTAAATTGCTATTGATACAACCAGAGATGGAAAATGCTAACTAGCAAAGGGTTTCATAACCACCATTGCTACTGCTGCTCCTTGTCTTCCTCCTCTTTCGTACATGCATATTACTGATAGGGTCTCACTCTATAGTCCTCTTGGACTACTTAACACAGAGTTATCTCTTTCTGTTTAGTAAAGATAAGCAAAGATGTATCAAGAGCTCTGTCACTACAAGGTTAAATCACTGATGTTTCTGTAACTTAGAGGAAAGTGGAAAAGCACATTGACATGAGGCCTTTCATAGCATGCGTCTCAGATAACTGGCGGCTATACAGACAGTTCACACTATAGCATGCATCCTCTCACTCACCAGTCCCCAAAGGGCGCCTTCTGAGGTGGCAACAATGGTAGCAGCTCTCGGGGTATTGTACATCAGAGCTAGTTCTCCAAAACTGCCATGGTTGTCATACTGACCAACAGAACGTGTTTGATTATCCTTTGTTACTAAAATGTCATAGGTTCCCCTAGAAGAATGACAAAAAATAGTTAATTACTTCTGATAAACTTAAGAAGTGACTGATACATGTAAAACATAATGTGGGAGGCAGAGCTGGGGACATAGTTCAGATGGCAGAGTTTTTGCCTAGCATGAAGGGGGCCCCACATTTTCTCCCACATCTAGATAAACCAGGCATAGTGGTGCATGTCTATAACTATAGCACTTAGTCAGGGGAAGGAGGATCAGAAATTCAAGATCACTCTCAACTACACAGTGAGTTCAAGGGCAGTCTAAGATACATAACAACCTGTCTCAAAAGGGGGGATAGCTGGGGCTGGAGAGATGGCTCAGAGGTTAAGAGCACTGTCTGCTCTTCCAGGGGTCCTGAGTTCAATTCCCAGCAACCACATGGTGGCTCACAACCATCCGTAATGAGATCTGGTGCCCTCTTCTGGTGTGCAGATAGACATGGAAGCAGAATGTTGTATACATAATAAATAAATAAAAATCTTAAAAAAAAGGGTTTTTAAAAAAGGGGGGGATAGCCAACATAATTTTGCTAAAATATACACATGATTTTTGCACTTGGTTTTGTTTTGAATTTTCTGTATATGGGTGTCTTGCCTACATGAATATTTGTGCACCATGTACATGCAGTGTCCAAAGAAGCCAGAAGAGGGCGCCCACTTCTTTGGAGTTGGAACTACAATGGTTGTGAGCTACCAGTTTTGGGACTCGAAACTGTACTCTACAGGAGGAGCAGCCCGTGCTCTTAACTGTTGAGCCATGGTATCTAGCCCTGCATTTAACTTTGTATTTTACAGCCTTGATAAACTGAATTAGTTCAGTAAGTGTTTTGTAGCACTCCTGTGGATTTTTCTTGCAGAGAAATTTTTTAAATTATTTTTTTATTAGTTCAAATTAGGAACAAGCTTGTTTCCCTCTCCCTCCCCTCATCCCCATTCCTACTTCCCCACCCTCTTGCAGAAAATTTTATTTCTTTTCTCATCCATATACACTTTCTTTACTTTTGCCTATTATACTGCCTGGGGCTTCCAGTAGAGAAACAGCCATGCTCAATGCACCACAAAAGCAAACAAACTTTCAGAATTTCTGTAAGACAACTAACTAAATGACATATTAACAAGTGACTCAGAGATCCTTCAAGGACTGGGGTGATGACTGAGTTGGAAAGTGCTTGCATGCTGGGTGATGGTGGTGTCATTAATCCCAGCACTAGGGAGGCAGAGGCAAATGATCTCTCTAAGTTTGAAGCTAGCCTGGTCTATAGACCAAGTTCTGGACAGCCAGGACTACACAACAACAAATAAAAGTTGTTGTCACAAACAAACAAATAAAAGTTAGTTGTGGAGGCCTGCACTTCTAATCCCAGCACCAGAAGTTCAATCTCTGAGACCCACATGGTAGAAGGAGAGACTTGATTCCAGCAAGATGTCCTGATGTCTATAGTGCACACACATATACACACAAAGCAAATTAATAAATGTAAAAAAAAAAACAAAATAATTAAAAAATTTTAATCATAAGCTAAATTTATAAGTTATTTTATAACAGGGCCTACACCTTGGCTGCAATGCATTGAAAATGTTCATTTCTGATTTAAAATTTGCTATCTGCCATAGAGAATGGCCTTATTTTTAGGAAACCCAGGTGGAGGTGCTCAGAGATACAGGGATATGATATCTGAAACTCTGTGTTGTTCTGAGACAGAGTCTCAGATGGCTTAGGCTGGCTTTGAAGTTGCTAAGTAGCTAATATCGATCTTGAACTCCTGAACTTCTCCCCTCCACATCCCTACTGCTGTGATTACAGAGATCTGTAGATGACCACGCCTAGCTTTCTGGAGCTTATTCTAAACAATCTGATGTGCTAAATATACCACAACTTTAATGTGGAGGGCTGGATTTACAAGAATTTTCTATACTATTTGTAATAGGTTTTGCTTTGTTTTAAATTTTGAAGTTACTTCAGAGGGAAAAAAGGGGGTTAGCGAGATGGATCAACGGTTAAAGGCACATAGTGCACTTCCAGAGGATCCAAGTTCAGATTCTAGCAACCTTGTCAGACAGCTTACAACAACCTTTTAACTCCAGCTCCAACGGATCTATCTGACGTCCTCTTCTGGCCTCTGTGGGCACTGTACTCAAATGTACAACCCCCCACTTGCCACAACGTTCCCACCCCATCACACATAAATAAAAATAATAACCTTTTTTTATGCATACAAACCTATGTAACTATGCATACACATGAATAAAACTAAATCTTGACACTCTGTGTAGCCCTGGCTGTTCTGGAACTCACTATGCAGACCAGGCTGGCCTTGAACTCACAAAGATCTGCCTGCCTCTGCTTCCTGAGTGCTCGGATTAAAGGTGTGAACCCCCCCCTCCATGTAGTTTAAAAAAAAAAAAAAAAACAACTTTTTTTTAATATTAAAGAATAATTGAAGATAATGGATATATGATAGCATTTTATTACCTTAGACTCCTTTTAGGACTGAGGAGTCAGAAGGAACCCTACTCTTCCTCAGAACAACACTATCAACTCAAGAGGCTAAGATGCATAAGCCAAGGACATAAACCCAACTTCACTTTTCCCAACATGGCTTAACACTTGGTGCAGAGTCAGAAAGTGTTGAGGGCATGCAGGTAAGGGGAGTATATTCATTTTTTAAAAATTTTACTTATTTATTATGTATACAGTCTTCTGCCTGCACGCCAGCAGAGGGCACCAGATTTCATTCAAGGTGGTTGTGAGCCACCATGTGGTTGCTGGGAATTGAACTCAGGACCTCTGGAAGAGCAGTCAGTTCTCTTAATCACTGAGCCATCTCTCCAGCCACCCCCCTTTTTTACATTCATTTTTTAAAGCAAGCTGAAAATCAAAGACACAAGACAATACACAGTCACAGATACTCTTGGGAAATAAATTCAATTGAACACTGGCAAATGGCACATTTACAAAACACATCGTGCCATTCTTTATCTAACTAGAAAAAAGATTTCCAACTACAAATGGTATTTCCCCAAATACTGGTTTTACTCAGGACTCAGGACAGCAGCAGACAGAGGCAGGTGTGACCCCTTGGAAGGCTTTGGGGAGCTTGTTTGCCCTGCACTAGACCTCTCTGGGCTGAAAATAGTATAGGTTGAGGCTTTTGTCCTGTATTAGGAATACAAGGAAGTGTAACCAAATAATTACAAAGCATCTCCTACCGTTCTATGACATAAAAGTTGTCTCCATCATCTCCTTGGTCAATGACATGCTCATCAGTTTTGACTAACTTTTCAAACATGGCATCGAGAACTTGAGAAAGCTGCTCCTAAGGTACACACAGAGAGAACAGATGGCTTTTACATTACTGAGAAAGCACAATGGTCAGCTGGGCATGGTGGTCCATGCCCTTAATCCCAGCAAAAAAACAAAATAAAACCAACAAAATACCCCACAAAGATTGTACTTATCCCAATTTTATGACTATATAATAAGGCTCTATACAAGATCACCACCAAAATTTAAACAGAAACCTAAGAGCTATCAGAAATAAGTTTTTTGTACTATTTTGCTTTGGATACCTTTAGCAGACAGCATAATTGCCAAACCTCTTTTTTGGTTTTTGTCAGGAACTGGAGAGATGGCTCAGAGGTTAAGAGTGCTGGCTGCTCTTCCAGAGGTCCTGAGTTCAATTCCCAGCAACCACATGGTGGCTCACAAACATCTGTAGTGAAATTCAGTGCACTCTTCTAAAATGTAGGCATACATACAAGCAGAACACTGTAAATAAAATAAGGGAAAAAGGAAGTACAGAGAACTAGGGATGTGGCTCCCTTGGTGGAATGTTTGCCTAGCAATCAAGAAGCCCTGGGTCTAACTTCCAGTGCTGAAATAAAAAATAAATAGCCCCTTTAATTCCAGCAATGGGGAGATAGAAACAGAAGGATCAGGAATTCAAGATTATCCAGGCAGAATTCAAGGCCAGACTCAGATATTTGTATGGGAATCTCGGCTAAAAAAAAAAAAAAAGAAAGAAAAAGAAAAGGAATGGGAGGAGCCTCAATATCAACATCCTTAGTCATCTGAGAAACGAAAACCTGTGTACACTGATGGTAGGAATGTAAATTAGTAGAGCCATTATGGAAAACAGTATGTGGGCTCCGCAGAAGACTAAAAATAGAACTGCATATGATCCAGCTATACCACTATTGGGTATTCATCACAAGGAAATGAAGTCAGCAGACAAAAAATACATATTCATTTTATGTTGCTATTCATAAAAGCCAAACTCTGAAATCAGCCTATACGCCCATCAGTATGTGAGAAGGAGAAGAAAATACGCTATCTACACAATGAGGTCAATAAAGAAAAATGAAATCATGTTGTTTGTAGGAAATGGATGGAAATGGACAGCATCATGTTAAATGAAGACAGACACATACAGGAGGACAGTGTTCATGTTTTCTCTTACATGTGAAAACCGAACGACAAAAAAGGAGAGTGTGAAAATGAAAGACTGGACTACGAGGAACAGAAAAGGAAAATAGGAGGAGGACAGGGAGGCTGGAACAAACATTACATATGTGGAAATGTCACAATGAAACCCATTAATTTTCATAAATTAACACGTGAAAAGGTTTTCAACAACTCACACAAGAACAGCATATAAATCACGGTTCCAACTTCCTCAGTCCCACCACAAGTGTCACCTACCTGGATGGCTCCAGTACACTATGTATACTGCTGTCACTTTCCTAAAGGTGTGGACATTAACAAGATTACCAAATCTAAAGAGCAGACAGCCTTGGAGATTGCCTGCAGAGCAGCACCTTAACCTCTGAGTAAGGGCAGCACAGCACTAACCTCTAAAAAGGGATAATTTCTATCTCAGTTTTTACGACTAAAGGAGGCACATCTAAGGAGAACATTTTACCATACAATGTTACTTTAGAAGTGGTATCTAATGGACAGATAATATAGCTTCACGTATGTATAACACATATAAATACATACTTACCAACACTATATGTCATAACCAGAAAGCAACTACATGAATAAATATAATAAAAAGGAAACAGCCGGGGCTGGAGAGATGGCTCAGAGGTTAAGAGTACTGGCTGCTCTTCTAGAAGACCTGAGTTCAATTCCTAGCACCCACACGGTGGCTCACAACCATCCATAATGAGATCTGGTGCCCTCTTCTGGCATGTAGGCATACATGCAAGCAGAACACTGTATACATGCCAAATAAATAAATCTCAAAAAAAAAAAAAAAAAAAAAAAAAAAAAAAAAAAAAAGAAACAACAGTACTAAATTTTGACTAAATTCTGGTCTCAGCCTTGAATTGGAGTCCATCTGTTAGACAGAAAGATTAATATTGGGGCAGGGAACACAAAAAAATATCAGCTTTACACTGAGGTTAAAAATAGAGGCCAGGCCAGGTGGTGGTGGCACATGCCTTTAATCTCAGCACTCAGTAGGCAAAGGCAGGGGAAACTCTGTGAGTTGGAGGCCAGCCTGGTCTACAAATGAGTTCCAGGACAGCCAGGGCTTCATAGAGAAACCCTGTCTCAAAAAAAACTTAAAAATTTTTTTTTTGACAAATGGCTTTATTAACAATAAATAGAAAAGAAAGTCCCCTTTCCAATTATATGGCTGGGTCTTTCAGGTAAAACTAAGTTTTACAGTTCACCGAACTGTATGCCAGATAAACAGGATGTTCCTTTAGTTCATTGTCCTATTTTAGTCAATCTTGGACTAATAAGCTCTGAATAAAGTTGTGGGTAATCCTATAAGCCATATGGCCACTAACAGGCAGGCTAACAAATACCAGAAATGGTTGACTCCCTTTAGTTAGGAGCTCAGACCAGCCAGATTCCAGGAAGAGCTGTAGAGATGTTCAGTCTTTTCTAAGTGTTCAGTAGTAAGGGAACTCTATCCAATCTTCCTGGTGGTGGTATGGGATTCCCAGAAATAGGTCTAGTATCTCAGTCATTCATTTGGTTTTCAAAGTAGATGGCCTTCAAAGCAGAGGAGAAAACAAACTCTGAAGATTCCCTATTGCTATAGACAGGATGCTAAATTGGGGCTGGAGAGATGGCTCCGTGGGTAAAGTACAGGTACAACAGCGTGAGGATCTGAGTTCAAATCCCCAGCACCTGCATAAAACTCAGGCACAGATGTCCATCTACAACCCCAGCAATAGGTGGATTCCCAGTACTCAGTGGAAAGCCAGTATAGCTAACTGATAAGCAATGAATTCCATGTGAAACCCTGTCTCAAAAAGAAAGTGAAGGGCCAATCATGTGGCTCAGAAAGTAAAGGCATTTGCCGACAATCCTGATGACTTGAATTTGATCTCCAGGATTCCACATAGCAGAAGGAGTTGTCCTTTGACCTGCACATGTGTACCATGATATATGTACACACACACACACACACACACACACACACACCCCACAGAGAGAGAGAGAGAGAGAGAGAGAGAGAGAGAGAGAGAGAGAGAGAGAGAGACAGACAGACATTTGGCCATACATCTTGTGCCAAACTCTACAGATACACAAGCTACAAGAAGAGTCCCATATGTGAAACATAAACAATCACACACTTTGAGTGGATTGGCTGCTATGATAAGAAGAATCACACAGCAGCATCTCTATGGCAATCAATTCCTTTGCCAAATAAATTCAGAACCTCCAAACAAAACCAGGGTCATCTTACCTTGGTTTTTCTTAGCAGTGTAAGTAAAGTACACAGTTTCTAAATCATTGGAATCACTAAATGCATTTAAAAGTAATATCTTCAGTAGGTGTGGTAGTGTATGACTTTAATCTCTGTACTCAGGAGCTAGAGCAGGTAGATCTCTCTGAGTTTGAGGCCAGCCTGGTCTACATAGGGAGTTCTAGTGCTAGCCAAGGCTACATAATGAGACCCTGTCTTTATTTTTAAGGTTTCTCTGTAGCCCTGGCTGTAGACCAGGATGGCCTCAAACTCACAGAGATCCACCTACCTGTCTCAGCCTCCCTCATGCTGGGATTAAAGGCGTGTGCCACCATTGCCCAGCAGACTCTAACTTAAAACAAAACCACATCTTCATTATAGTGAGCAACACAAAAGCATTTTCTTTTTTGGTAAATAAATAAATCTTAAGATACATGCCTAATTCAACTGTGGCTAACATGCTAAAAACTGCTTAAATGCCAAACAGGAAAAAAGCTAAAATATCATAACAAAAATACTTTCAAAATTAATGTTACCTGATCAAGGTTTTTGAAAAGAAGAATATCTTTGCAAGCTTCCTGAAGCCTACATCTCTGCTCATCAGTTTTGGGATGAACCACCTGTTAATTGAAATAAAGCCAAGATAATTATTTTATTCCATTTGAAAATCATCCACTTAAAAATTAATGTATTTCTTTTTCCTAAAAGTACGGCGGGGGGGGGGATTTTTTTAAAAAAGCAAAATATGTTATATGTGGGTTCTTTTTAGAATTTATTTCACACAAATGAATAGTAAAAGGTATCAAATGGTTTAGGTAAGTACCAAGAATATGCTTCAGTTTTCACAGTAAATGTTCCGATTAGACATCAAATATGTATTTATTTCCTACCAAATTTTTTTTTAAATAACTCTCATTCTACAAAACCAGTAAGCAGTATGCTGCCATGGTGAGGCAATGTGAGAAGCACTGCCAGAGCCACCTGCTGTCTGTGTGGCGGGCAGTTATCAGCTATCCCCTGGGAGCCTCCAGAGTCTCATCTGGACAGCAGAGGGTTATAAACTGTTCCTTCAATAAATACTGTACATCTACTCAGTTAAAGGCACTCTCAGCTCTGGAGACAGAAGTGAACATATAGATAAAACTGTATTCCCTTACCTTGTATCAACACATAAAGTATGTTGGAGACTGACAAAGTTAAGGACAAAAGGTAGGCAAGGGACATAAATATGAGAGAATGTTTCTGACAGCTAGGTGAGGTCCCACTGAGAAAGTGACAACTGTGCTAAGATCTCAAAGCAGTACAACCTCAGAGAGAGTGGTGAGATCACTGTGGGAAGAGCAAGGCATCTTTTGGTGGGAGAATATGAATAGCAGATGTGACAGGTAACAGAGAGATGAGACTGACGCAGACAGGGAACGATCAGAACAAGCTGGTTGTGGTAGGGATGTCCAAACTCATAGTGGGACTATACACTGGTCATAGAATAAATGGAACTTTCTCTAACAGCTTGGGGGCCGTTTGAGGTTATCAATTCAGGAAGAGATCTAATATTTGAAGGATCACAAGGCTGTTAAAGTAGGTTTAGGATTAGGATTATAGTTAGGCCTAGAGGAAGCTGGGAAGCTTACACTATGGTTTGCACTAGGTGGTAACCAAGAAGATGCTAAGATGTTGGGGGATATTTGATCACACTGTGAGCCCAAGTTTGCATTTGCATTGATTAAATTAAATTAACCTTGAGTTAGGAGGTTGAGTTAGCAACTAGTTGATAGGAATTAATCATGGAGCAGCAGAGGGCAGCACCTGAGGAGACAGACACAGTAGGGAGGGGTTTTAAGGGGTAAGGTTTTGGTGGAGTGGAAGGAAGGGCTTTGGGGAGCCACCAGCAAGGAGAAAAGGCTAACTAGGTGCTACTCAATCTTTCTGAGCTAGCAGGTTTTAAAAAAATATTTATTTCTATTTATTTATTTATTTATTTATTTATTTATTTATTTATTTTGTGCTTTGCCTGTATGTATGTCTGTGTGAGGGTGTTGGGAACTGGCGTTACAGACAGGTGTGAGCTGCCATGTGGGGGCTGGGAATTGAATCCGGGTCTTCTGGAAGAGCAATCAGTTCTTTTAACTTCTGAGCCATTTATCTCTCCAGCCCCAGGCTAACAGGTTTTCAACCCAGTCTTTCAGTCTTTGAGTCTTGAGTTTTATTTATAAATAGAAAGATTTAGTTAAAGCTACCTTTAGCGACAGTGGCAGTGCCAGTGCCTGCAGGAAAAGAATTCCTGCCAGGTTGCAGCCTGAGCAGCCAAGCCACTGCCAGAAAAACAGGCTGGTAACTTCGGAGTTGCAATTGCTGGCTGAAAAATAGCAGTAGATTAAGGTGCAGCCACTGTGCTGAAGACAAAACACCAAGAAGTAGAGAAGTTTGGATAGATTTTGAAGGCAGAGTACACTAAATTTATTGAAAAAAATTAGATGATTAAAAAAAAAAAAAGCAAGAAGAGTTAAGGATGATACCAAATGAACAATGCTGGTATGATTTACGATGGGAAAAACTGAGTAGAAAATATTTTTAAATTATTTTTATTTTTAAGCCAGGTGGTGGTGGCGTACACCTTTAGTCCCAGCACTTGGGAGGCAGACGCAGGTGGATCTCTGTTCGAGACCAGCCTGGTCTACAAGAGCTAGTTCCAGGACAGCCTCCAAAGCCACAGAGAAACCCTGTCTCAAAAAACAAACAAATTTTTTTTTTTAATTTTTGTGTGCACACGCACGCACGCACGCACGCACGCACGCACGCACGCACATCAGTGTATAGCTAGGTGCCATGTAAGAGCAGGTGCTCCAAAAGCCATTGTTGTCCACAGCTGGAATTATAAGGCAGTTGAGAACCACCTGTTGTAGATACTGGAATTGAACCTGGTTCCTCTGCAAGAGCAGCAGATTCTCTTAACCACTGAGCCATCTCTCCAGCCTAGAAAGAGTATTTTCAAATAATCAGAGGAATTCATGTTGTCTACTGACATCTATGTGGAGATGGTAATTAACAGCTATATAAGCTGCAGTTAACATACCAATTATTAATAATAGTAATTTACAAACTAGTTGTTATAAGGATTAAATAATATATGTAGTTTCTAAAACAGTACCTTAAATTCACTTAGTAGGTGCTTCAAAACTATTACCATTATTATAAACAAAAATGTTTACTGAACTAAAAAGAAATGTTACAGCCTAACATTGATATTGTGATTGAGAGACCTATTAAGCTACTTCCTAAGCATGGTTTTTACCAGGAATAAATACATTAAATTTGTGTATGAGGAGCTGGATCAGCAGGCAAAAGTGCTTGCTATGGTAGACTGACAACCTGAGTTTAATCTCCAGAACCCACATAAAGGTGAAAAGAGGAAACCAACATCATATGTATGCAACAGGTAATTAGAAAAAAATGTTTTAAGTTTGAAAAGTCATCAAGAATTTTACAATATCCAGAGTTTAATTTTTTTCAAGTTTGTACACCTCTAATAATCACTCAATGGTAGCACTTTTTTATTGTTTATACATGTTTGTTTATTGAGACAAGGTCTCACAATGTATCCTTGGCTGGCCTGGAATCTCTTTATGTAGGGAAGGCCAGCCTCAAATTCACAGAGCTCTGACTGCCCCTGCTAATGGAGTTCTGGGACTAAAGGTATGCATCACCACATCTGGCACATACTGTTACTAAGTGCTTCAGAAATCCTTCCTAGGTTACTCATTTTAAGGAATGCATGACCACAGAAGTGTCTTTTATAATACCACTCTTTTGGGATGCTCCCTGAGCCAAGACACACAGGGGTGGGCCTAGGCCCTATCCCAAAGGATACAATAGACTCTGATGACAACCTATGGAAGGTCTCACCCTCCAGGGGGAGCAGAAAGGATATGGGATAGGTAGGGTTTTAGTTGGGGGAGGGGGGTGGTAGGGGAGGATGGGGAGGGAGAGGGAACTGGAATTGATATGTAAAACAATCTTGTTTCTAATTCAAATAAAAAAAAAAATTAGCCGGGCTTTGGTGGTGCCTTTAGTCCCAGCACTCGGGAGGCAAAGGCAGGCGGATCTCTGTGAGTTCGAGGCCAGCCTGGTCTCCAGAAAGAAAAAAAAATAACCAGGAAAAAAAAAATAATACCACTCTTTTAAAAATGAAAGTTCATACTTTCTTTTGTAAACATAATTTATTTTAATTATTCAAAAGTTTTAGAATGGGGGTTCTGCTGAGGCTGGAGAGATGGCTCAGGAGTTAATATTGGCTGCTCTTCCAGAAGATCTGAATTCAATTCCCAGCACCCACAAAGCAAATCAAAACTCCAGTCCCAGGGGATCTGAGGCCCTCTTCTGTTCTTTGTTAGTACCAGGCATACATGCAGGCTACACACTCATACATAATTTAAAACAAAACTGGGGCTGAAGAAATGGGTGCAAGGTTAAGAGCACTTGTTTCTCTTTCAGAGGATTTGGGTTTGGTTCTCAGAACCCATGTAGTAGTTCACAACAAACTGTAACTCCAGTTCTAGGGGATTCAATGCCTTCTTTTGATCTCCACAGGAACCAGGCAGACATGTGGTCCTTATATATGAAAGTAAAAATTCTTTTACATAAAAATAAATAAATCTAAAACCCTGAACTTTAAAACAATAAACCAGGCAGGACAGTGGTGGTACACGCCTTTAATTCCAGCACTTGGGAGGCAAAGGCAGGCAAACCTCTAGGCCAGCCTGGTGTACAGAGTACCAGGGCAGCTAGAGCTACACAGAGAAACCCTCTCTAGAAAAAACATAGTCAACTAGGATCCTATCACAGCCATGGTTACAATCTAGGGTACACTCTTTGAGGTATAAGTCTCTGCAGAAAAATACAAACAGACAAATGCATTAATTATTTTTATTTTACAAAATTAATTATAAAATTAAGAAGTACCAGGGGCTGGAGAGATGGCTCAGAGGTTAAGAGCACTGACTGCTCTTCCAGAAGTCCTGAGTTCAATTCCCAGCAACCACATGTTGGCTCACAACCATCCATTATGAGATCTGATGCCCTCTTCTGGTGTGCAGATATACTTGGAAGCAGAATGTTGTATATACAATAAATAAATAAAATCTTAAAAAAAAAAAAAGATTCAACTGAAAAAAAATTTAAGAAGTACCTCATTTAAACATGTATGTTATGGCATTCAATCCTGTTCTATACAATTATTTTCAATGACTATAGATTATTTTCCTTTGAATATTACATAATGCAGCCCTAGGTGATAATCCTTTTATTAAAAAGAGCCATTTTAGGTTTTTTTCCATATCCATTTGTGAATCCTTGGGAAGAATTCTACCTAGTACTTGCTGAGTCTGATTATGTCTAAGGCTTCTGCAATGCCAGTCAGGTGCTCCTCACCAAACTCTCAACCAGGGCAGGTTTCAATCAACTGCACAAAAATGGCAGCCCATAAGTACTTTTACATTTTATTTCCATTTATTTATTTACTTACTTACTTATTTTGGATTCTTGAGACAGGGTTTCTCTGTGTAGCTTTGGAGCCTATCCTGGAACTCGCTCTGGAGACCAGGATGGCCTCGAACTCACAGAGATCCGCCTGCCTCTGCCTCCTGAGTGCTGGGACTAAAGGTGTGCGCCACCAACACCCAGCTAGAATTTATTTTTATCAGTCACAAAACATTAAGTCTGTCTTCAGTGTTTTTCATACAAAATGTGTTCTTTCTCTTCCTTCCTCTGCTCTCCATCCCCTTTGTCCCCTCCCCAACTCCATCTTTGCACCCTCAGTGACCTCTTTGTCATTTTCACATCACAGATGTCCTTTTGCCCTCCTTCTTAACCTCTCTCTACACCTTTTTTTTTGTTTGGTTTGGGTTTTGGTTTTGGTTTTTCAAGACAGGGTTTCTCTGTGGCTTTGGAGGCTGTCCTGGAACTGCTCTTGTAGATCAGGCTGGCCTCGAACTCACAGAGATCCGCCTGCCTCTGCCTCCCAAGTGCTGGGACTAAAGGCGTGCGCCACCAATGCCCGGCCTTTCTCTACACCTTACTCCTCTGTTGTGGTTGCTATTTAGCTTTCAGGTCTACACACTCCCTCACACGGGCATGCAAACATTATAAGCTAGGGTCTGCATATGAGAGAGCATGTGACCTCTCGCTGAGATTTTAATTCATACATACTTTCACTATTAGTGATTCAACTGAGGTATGTAGCAGATGAGAATTAGCAGAAAATACAATTCTACATAACACTTTAGCTTTAGTTCTTACCTTTGGTTCAGTATCTTCCTCTTCTTCATCAGGATTATAGGATTCTGCACAGACTAAAATTGGAGAGAGAGGAAAAAGGAAGTTATAAAACATGTGATTTTAGGAAAAAAGAAGTATGGGGTGTCACGTGTATGCCAGAGGGTGCCTTTCTCACTCACTCTACACCTTATTTGTCTGCTCAGTATGTACATACGTACGCACTTATGTATTTGTCTGTTTAGTATGTACATACGTATGTATGTGTGTATTTGAGTCAGAGTTTCACTACTATGTAGCTCTGGCTGACTTGGTCCTCACTATGTAGACCAGGATGGCCTCAAAGACCCACCTACTTCTGCCTCCTGAGTGCTGGGACTAAAGATATGTGCCACTGCCCCAGGCCTCCACCTTAGTTTCTGAGATGGTCTCTAACTGGAGCTCACAGACTCAGACAGGCTGACTGGCCACTTGTCTCCACCTCCCCCAGCACTGAAATTATAGATGTGTGCTGCCACACTTAGACTTTATGTGGGTGCTAGGGACCCTCAAACTTACATTAAAACATGTCCCAGGCTAGCCATCTGTCTAACTCTCTTCTTCATTTTATAAATAAGTCCTATTTTCTTATGACCTTAAATAACTTTTTTAAAGACCATTTTTCAATATAATCATATTGACATGGCTTCAACATATAGCTTTGATGGGGAGGCATAATCCTATTTCATTGGCTTTCTAGATTACATTAAACAACTGTTAGTGACATTTCAGTTTAAGATAACTATGGGGAAAAAAACACAGCACACTACTTTTAATACATTTTAAACATGTAAGCCTTACAAGGCAGTAGCATTTAGTAAAGAGCATTATCACTTAGGAATAAGTGACTGACACAGTACCAGATTCCCAGTAAACTAGCCCGTCAGTCATTACTAGTCAGAATACTCACTGCATAGACACACAGATGCTAACACAGATTTCTGTTAATGTGCTTTAAAGCTTCAACATACATAAGAAGTCTAAGTTTTCCCTTTTATTTTTAATGAATGAAATTTTTGTTTTTTGTTTTTCCAAGACAAGGTTTCTCTGTGGTTTTGGAGGCTGTCCTGGAAGCAGCTCTTGTAGACCAGGCTGGTCTTGAACTCACAGAGATCCACCTGCCTCTGCCTCCCAAGTGCTGGGAATAAAGGCGTGCACCACCACTGCCTGGCTATGAATGGAATTTTTTTTTAATTTTATTTATTTAGTATGTATACAGTATTCTGCCTGCATGTATCTCTTCATGCCAGAAGAGGGCACCAGATCTCATTACAGATGGCTGTGACCCACCATGTGGGTGCTGGGAATTGAACCCAGGTCCTCTGGAAGAGCAGTCAGTCAGTGCTCTTAACCTCTGAGCCATCTCTCCAGCCCACGATGAATGAAAATTTCAAACTGATAGACTTATACATTTCAAAGACAGTTAACACTAATTTGGAACTGTATCAAAAAAGGGGTTGGAGAGATGGCTCAGTAGTTAGGAGCACTGGCTGCTTTTCCAGAGGACCCAGTTTCAATTCCTATCACCCACATGGCAGCTCACAGTTGTCTGTAACTCCAGTTCCATGGGATCTGATGCCCTTATATAGACATTCGTGCAGGAAAAATACCAATGTACATAAATTTAAAAATAAGAAAGAAAGAAAGGAAGGAAGGAAGGAAGGAAGGAAGGAAGGAAGGAAGGAAGGAAGGAAGAAAGAAGTAAACACTTAGAGCAAGCAGGTATGGTAGTGTGTGTTTGCATTCCAGAACCCGGAAGGCTGTGGACCAGAAGACTGCCATGAGTTCAACACCAGTCTAGGCTACATACCAAGAACTGTCTCAAAAACAAACAAAAGAAAGCAGTGTTTTAAAAATTCATGAATCCTTCTTGTGCTACCTACTGAGTCCCTGTCTCAAATAAACCAAAGAAAAATACCACCAACAAAAAACTTATTTAAAAAATAATTTGGGGAGGGCTGGAGAGATGGCTCAGATGTTAAGAGTACTGGCTGCTCTTCCAGAGGTCCTGAGTTAAATTCCCAGCAACCACATGGTGGCTCACAACCATCTGTTATGAGATCTGGTGCCCTCTGCTGGTGTGCAGATATACATGGAAGCAGAATGTTGTATACATAATAAATAAATAAATAAAATCTTTAAAAAAATTGGGGGAGTTGGAGAAATGGTTCGGTGGTTAAGTGTACTGGCTGCTCTTCTAGAGAATCAGGTTCAGTTCCCACCATTCATAGGGCACCTCACTCACAGCTGACTGTAACTTTAGTTCCAGGGTTCCAATACCCTCTTTTTGGCCCTCTTGGGAAGCAGGAAATCATTTGGTTCACAGACATGTATGTGAACACAACACCCATAGCATGAAATAAAAATAAATACATTTTTTTGTGAGGGGGGTTCAAGGAAGGATTTCTTTGTGAAGCCCTGGCTGTGCTGGAACTCACTCTGGAGACCAGGCTGGCCTCAGACTCACAGTGATCCACCTGCCTCTGCCTCCCGAGTGCTGTGATTAAATGTGTGCACTAGCACTGCCCAGCACTAAATATTTTAAAAATAATAATTTGGGACTTTTGATTTCCAGAGTCACAAATATTGACCCTACCACACCCCTGCTTTGTAGGGGTCTTTTTCTCTGCATGCATTGCTGTGTGTGGTTCTTCACCTTAAATAAAAAGTATTTTATATCTGTTGGAAAAAATAATATAACTTGGACCATAATACATAACAAAAAATGTTATCAAGCTAGTCCCATTAAGAAAACAAAAAACCAGATAGCTGGGGATTTAGCTCAGTTGGTAGAGTACAAAGTTCCATCCCCAACACTAACTAAATGGTAGGCATGCCTATAATTCAAGTACTCAGTACTGTGTGAGAGCATCAGAAGCTCAAAGTCATCCTTGGACTCAAGGGGTAATGGGAAAGCCTGGGGCACATGAGACCCTGACTCAAAGAAGGAAGGGTGGGGGGAATGCAAACAGATTTTCTGTATTCTGAAAGAATTAATTTTTGTGACCTATAAGAACATCAAATAAGCCGGGCGTTGGTGGCGCATGCCTTTAATCCCAGCACGGGAGGCAGAGGCAGGCAGATCTCTGTGAGTTCAAGACTAGCCTGGTCTCCAGAGTGAGTGCCAGGATAGGCTCCAAAGCTACACAGAGAAACCCTGTCTCGAAAAACAAAAACAAAAACAAACAAAAAAAATCAAATAAAATGAGCTGAAGTTCTATTCACAACTAAATTGCCTGCTCTTGATAGTGTAGTGCAAAAGAGGCATATCCGGGATACCTTTTCCCTGGAGCCCTATCCATATACTGCCTCTAAAAAGAGAAAAGGCCAAGACAGTGTTTAGTCTCTCACCAGAGAACACCATTTTCCATGCTGGAACTAAAATATAATTCTAGTGACTCAAAAACTCATGAGAAAATTTAATGGCAGTATAATCTAGGATGCTAAAAACAGCAACATGAAGAATCATTTTGGAAATAATTTTTTATTTGTAAATATAGAAAAATATTATGACACAGATGCAAACAGAGGTAGTTTTACTTTAGTATAATAAATATATATACTGCTAGTTTATCTTTTCAGTTTAGAAATGAATTATTTTCACTTATGATATTCCTATCTTGAAATAGAATTTTAGTCATATGTCATAAAAAAGAGTACATACCTGATACTCGTCTAGAAAATCTGCCAGGAGTCGGAACTGTGGGGGAAAGAAGTTAACATTTAGTCATCATCATTGGATCACGTGCCTCCTCTTCTTACCCCTGCTTTCTGCAGCCATCTCTGATAGTAGAACTGACCACCCACAATCACTGGTGAGTTAGTCCATGCTCTTCCATAGTCGACCACAAATTATTGTTACTCAATATGATCATATAAAGACAATATTAAAAATACTTTCCTGACAATGGTGGCACATGCCTTGAGAAGCAGGGGCAGGCAGATCTCTCTCAGAGTTCAAGGCCAGTCTGGTCTACAGAATGAGTTCCAGGATAGCCAAGGCTACACAGAGAAACCCTGTCTTGAAAAAAAAAAGGAAAGAAAGAAAGAGAAAAAAAATACTTCCCTAAAAAGAAAAGTCCTTTATAACTTCAATGCTCCAAGACCTGAGTTGGGCAGCTCACAAGACTGTCCTCTTCTGGCTTCTAGGGGCACCAGTGTATGCATACGTAGTGTATGTAGCTAAGGGTAACCTGGAACTTACCTGTACATATACTCTCCCCCACCCATGTCTCTCTTTCTGTCTCTGTCTCCATCTCTCTCTCTCACACACACACACACAATTTAAATTTTCTTTGGGGATTTTATTTTTTATGTATATAGGTGTTTTGCCTGAATGTGTATCTATGTACCATATACATGTTTACCTGGTGCCCACAGAGGCCAGAAGACGACACTGGACCCCGTAGAAAGGTAGTTCAGACAGTTTGAGCCACCAAGTGGATGCTAGGAATTGAACTCAGGTTCTTATGAAGAGCAGTCAGTGCTCTCAACCACCAAGCCTGATAACCTGAATTTCATTCCTATAAATCAATATGGTGGAAAGAGAACTCTTGGAAGATGTCCTCTGACCTGTAAACACATGCTGTGACACATATTTGTCCCTGACAATAAATAAACGCAACTATAAAGAATATATATGGCACTGGAGAGATGACTCAGCAGTTACTTTCGAGATCTTGGCATTCTGCCCCATCTCCACCAGCCAGCCTGCAGCTCTGGTCACTGAACAATTTCTAGAGGCACATGGTACCTCTTCAAGTACAGACAGCATCCTCTCTGTGTTCTCAGCAGTCTGAGGCTCTCTACCATAAGCTAGAACACAGGACCTGATGAACATGAATGCTACAATTTCACCTGCTTTCACAAGAAATGCCAAATTAAATACTCTATCATGGATCCTCCTGGCCCACCTCTGCTACATTGCTGAGGATGAGAATGAGAAGATTGTGGGCTATGCCCTAGCCAAAATGAAGGAGGATCTGATTCTGATTCCCCATGGACATGTACCTTGGCCTGACCCAGAAGCTGATGGACTAGACCTTACCTTTAATGCTTAGCACAGCAGAGCTGACCCTATTAACAGGGGTACGGATGAACCATCCAAGAATGTGAGCATGGAAGATCTGGCTACGCACCTCATCTGCCATATGGGGGTGTGGGTGGAGAAGCAATGCTGTTCCCCTGCCCATATTGAGCTGCCTGTAATGGGTGGGAGAGCTGGCCCTGTCCCTGGCCTGGGCTACACAGTAGAGCAGGCCCTGATGGTCCAGGAGTGGGAGAGCCAACCTTGCGGGCATGAAAGCAGGGGAACTGGCCCTGCCCCCTTGCTCACTGTCGAAAGGGGTGGTGAACTAGCCCTTAAAATGCTGGAGAACTCACCCTGGTGGTGAGGATGGGAGAGAACTGGCAGGCTGACCAACCCAGGCCCAGAACCAAGATTATGAGTTAGCCCACCTCAACACCTAACCCATCTATGATCTGCAGGAGAACATGAAGGAGCCAGTCCTGCAGACACAGCAACAACAGGATATCCAAGAGGAGTCCCAGGGAATGCCCAGCATCAATAGTGTAGCAGAAAACAGAGAGTCTGAACCAGAGCCTTTGCAATGAAGACTTGCAAGTAAAGACATATGGAAAAAAAGGGTTACTGTGTGACTCACTGGGTCACACTACAGCTTCCATTATGAGATTTTCCCTTTTTTCTTTCAAATTTTATTGGGGGGGGTTTGCAAAGGCAGAGGGTGGATATGAAGGGACAGGGACAGGGAAATAAATGAATGGGTACGATGTGAAAGACACAAAGAATAAATAAAGCTGGGTGGTGGTGGCGCACACCAGCACCTAGAGGAAGAGGCAGGCTGATCTCTGTGAGTTTGAGGCCAGCCTGGTCTACAGAGTGAGCTCCAGGACAGGCTACAAAGCTACAGAGAAACCCTGTCTCAAAAAACTAATATGATAGATAGATAGATAGATAGATAGATAGATAGATAGATACATAGATACATAGATAGATACATAGATAGATAGATAAAATTTTAGTGTTAGGCCAGATGTGGTGGCATGTACCTTTAGTCCCAACACTAGAGAGTTTTCAGAGGCAGGTAGTGTGATCTGCAAAAGTTAAGTTGCATGTCAGTCAGCGCTACATAGTGAGACTCTGTCTCAAAACAAACAAAAACTTTCAGTGCCATCTACATATCCTTGCATGTCAGGAATAGCAAACAAGTCTGGCATCAAACGTGGAGGCTTGAATATCCAAACATAGGGCCTGAGAGAGCTAAGAGAAGCTCTGGACAGGAAGTCAGATGTGGCTTCCTCATCCTGCAGGCAGGCTGGTGCTTGGCTTACAGAGGCATGGCTTGAGCCAGCCAGCACCGTGTGCCAGCGCCATGCACTAAGCTGAGCCATGCAGCGGCTGACAGGGCAGTTTAAGATTTGTCTCACTTGGTCAGAGAATGCGCAGATGTTAAGTAAAGCCAGGTCCAGACACTGAGAACCTCTAAAAAGGACAGTATGTTTAAAAATATGCTTAGATGCTGAAGAAAAGAAAATGAGTATAGACAGTCATAGAAAAAATTGTTTAAAAATAATGAAGTTGGGGCTAGAGAGATGGCTCAGTGATTAAGAGCACTGGCTGCTCTTCCAGAGGTCCTGAGTTCAACTCCCAACAACCACATGGTGGCTGAAAACCATTTATAATGAGATCCGATGCCTTCTTCTGGCTTGCAGGCCTACATGCAGGCAGAACACTGAATACATAGTAAATAAATAAATCTCTTTTTAAAAAATGAAGTGTTGCCAGGTGTTGGTGGCGCACGCCTTTAATCCTGGCACTTGGGAGGCAGAGGCAGACGGATCTCTGTGAGTTTGAGACCAGCCTGATCTACAAGAGCTAGTTCCAGGACAGTCTCCAAATGCCATAGAGAAACCCTGTCTCAAAAAACCAAAAAATGAAGTGTCTAAAGAGAGAGTAAAACAATATTTAAAAAAAAAAAAAGCCACACAAAAGGAAATACACAAGGCATCTGGATCCTGTATAGTGCTTTGTTGATTCTGAATTTTTTAAATGCTAATGTACAAAAACCAATAGCTACTGAGAGACACTAGGTTATGAAAACTTCTAAATTAAACCTATATATATATATATATATATATATATATTTTAAAGATTTTATTTATTCATTATGTATATACAATATTCTGCTTCCATGTATATCTCCACACCAGAAGAGGGCACCAGATCTCATAATGGATGGTTGTGAGCCACCATGTGGTTGCTGGGAATTGAACTCAGGACCTCAGGTAGTGCTCTTAACCTCTGAGCCATCTCTCCAGCCCCCCCACCCTATATATTTTAAAAATGTCTTAATTTCAAAATGGAAATTGAAAAATATGTTGCATTGGGGGGGGTTATGCCTTTGTTTCCACAGGAAACAAAAAGTTACAGTTCTCTTCAAAATTAAGGAAGATCAGATATGATTGGGGGAGACCCCCCTCAGAAAATCTTGACTGAAAATCTTGACCATAGACATGAAGAAAGAAACCAAGAAAGACTACAGGACAGGTGATGTATAAGGCATGAATAAAGGTTTGGTTATAAGCCCAAACAGACTTACAAAGTTGACAGATGCTTTTTTACCTGCTCAAACATAGAACAAAAAAATCTTTAACTGACTTATGTACACTGCACAGTCCATCCTTGTGTTAATGCAGATATACATGCTACCTTTAAAAGTTTACGTGTTGCAGAAAAAAGGTCTAAACACCAATGAAGACAAGTAGCCCAGGTGATCCAGCCTCTCAAAATGCCTCTTTGCAGTTTCCTCAAAATTCTGTAACCAGAACTGAGATGGTTCAGCCTCACACACTATCCAGCCAAAACTTCTGATAAGCCTTACGCTTTCTCATCAGAAACTAAACAAAAAATAATACAGCTAGCTCTCCCATGACTTGACCATTATCTCAATTTTCTCAGGGTGCCCTAAAGATGCTGTTGCTCCCAGACAACAGGAAGCAGCCTAGAGAACACTACATCCACATTACATGGGTGGGTGGGTGGCTTTTGGTTATGGATGTTTGTCATCATTTGGGGGGAGTGGCTATAAGTTGTTATTGTTAATGGTCAGGAAAAAAGCTGAACAAAGGAGATTAGATTCAGGGATCTTTCCATATGGAGTTTGCTTTCATTGTGGCAAAGTTAGCCACTGGGCAAAGAAACTGCTCTTGCCTCAGCTGCTGGCAGGCAGAATGCTGTCCAAATTGGACAAGCAGGACACAAAAGAAGACAACTGCTGAACTTTGCCAAGACAGGGTAGGACGGTCCTTTAAAATTCCTGTTTCACAGAAAAGTCTGTAAGATATTCTAGGCCTGTAGGCTGAAGATGGATGTCCAGGTAGCCAGCAGTTTCTCATAGTTTTGGAAGCTGCTTCCTCAGCACTCACTTTTTATTTACTCAGGTAATATTCTATCCTTCTTGGGCCTCTGATAGAGTTGAAGGTGAGATAGTTACAGTTACAGTTTTCTTTCCTACCAAATTCAGAAAAGAAACTTACATAAGAAATGTAAAAATATGAACTTGAGAAACAAAAGCTTAAGTTGTTTATCTAAGAAAATATTTTAAGGTCTAAAACAATATTATTAGGATGGCAATAAAAATGATTTAGATATAAAATGTTAAATTCATCAAGATAGAATAGATAGCCGGGTGGTAGTGGTGCACGCCTTTAATCCCAGCACTCGGGAGGCTGAGCCAGGTGGATCTCTGTGAGACAGGCTTTCTCTGTGTATCCCTGGCAGTCCTGGCACTAGCTGTGTAGACCAGGCTGGTCTTGAACTCACAGAGATCAGTGTGTGCTTCTGCTGCTGCTGCTGCTGCTGACGCCAATGCCACAGCCATCGCCACCACTGCCACCAGCTAACCTGAAACTGTTTTACCCTATCCCTCCAAGCATGTTTATCTCTTCATTATAAAGTATTGGAGCTCTCTAACATTCACATGTACAGCAGTATAGTCTTACTGATGAAACCTCCCATGTTTTCCTTGAGCCCTGTCTTCCTGGTAACGGTTTAGCAGACAGAAGTAGAGGCAGCCTCAGCTTACTTCAGTGGTTTCTCTCCAGCACTGGACACACTGACTGTCTCTAGTAGCTTGACGATAGGCTTGGCATAGTAGGAAAATAGATATGACTTTGGTAGTGTTATTTTATAAAACTACTGGCTGCTTTCTTGTTACTAGGAGACAAACAAAATTAGAGCAACACATCTTTACTTGTGGTTTTAGGCAACGAAAGTATATCAGTTAGAAAAACATTAAATCTCAAATGCAAGCTTATTAATGATTACTAGGAAAACTTAAAAATTTGAATGTTATTTTCCATGTTTTTATTCCTTTATACCTGGATTTCCTCCATATTTACAGGTTCACTCTCCTCTGATGGGCCTGTGGTGCTGGGTGTTCCAGGTATTACATGTGTCAGTCAAAGGTCCTCTCCTCACATTATACTCTCTTGTCCTACAATAATGCTGCTCCTAATTTAAACACTGACTCCCTCTTATACTTCTATCTGTCCAGTAAGACCCAGAAAAGAGTATCCAATTGCTACTCATCACTCTTGTGCATCTCAAACCTATATATATGCAGACCCACCATCGAAGGTAGGGTCTCCTCCATCCTTCCCAAGCTCATTTTTCACATTCTTTTTTGAAACAACACTGCTGTCACCCCAAAGCACACACTGGAAATACAAATTCACTATCCAATCTGTTCCTAAGACCTGGTCATGTAAGCCTTTGACATGTGCCCTGAAGTCATCTCCAATACTCTCTCTTCCAAGTCATGCAAACTCCAACCCTACATTATACCAACAGCCACCAAAATGATACATTATCTGCATCTATTTCTGACCCTCTCTAACCTCTTTTCCAACTAGAGTCCTTAGCACTTTGCATCCTGTAATTTAAAACTCTTCAGTGACCCTACCACAGTTCTAAAGGTGAAGACAAAACCACCTTGCTTTCCCCTTCCTTCCTGCACGTCATTCCTTCTGTCAGGTCATCTCCATTCAAGGGCTTCTCACCAGTTTGTGGAGTGTCTTTGTCATTGTTCTATTGTTGTGACCAAGTCAACTCTTATATTTTTGGCTGTGA